GCTGCCGCTGCGCTAGGTCACTCTGCTGCTGCCCTTCGCTCCTGCGCTAGGAATAGCGCTCAAACGGCGCTCTGGCGCCGACCTTACCGCACCGCGTAGAATACCGGTGGGTCGATGCCTCGAAGTGAGGCCGGACCAGTACTAAGTACTGGTTCGAAGAGGACCGGCCTCACTGCTGCGAGGCCTTGGTTGGGGCTGAACCGTCCAGATCGACGATTCAGGTCCAACCGGAGAGCGGCAGCCTCAAACGGCACCGTCAGGCCCAAAGACGAAATGTCATTTGGGCCTGGTCCGTAGTCGGGTCCAAGTCGTGGCCTTTCGGCCTGTTATCCCCCAAGGTCGGGCCTTTAGGCCCTGATGTGTCCCTCTAGCCCTAAGTCGGGTCCGGTAGGACCCGTGTGGCGACGAAGATGTAACAAATATATATGTATATGCACAAGTGCGCCGCTTTGGCGGCAGACGGGTGTGTGGGCACTTCACGCTGAACGACAGAAACGTGGCCAACCTTGCATTTTCTATTATATTGTCTATCTATACGTTTTCGTTGTGGATGGTTGGTTTAACTTTGTTATGATTTGTGGAGGAAATGAGAGAGAGAGAGAATTTGGGGTGCTTTAACAACACACACACAGTCTGGCGAAGTTATGCTATTTTTTGTGGAGTTGTGTATAGCAAACATGACAGCACACAGCCATGTATTTTTTTGTGGAGTTGTGTACAGTGAACATGACAACACACAGCCATGTTTTTTTTGCGGAGTTGTGTATAGCGAACATCACAAAACACGCTCGCACACATTGTGGCCAAAGACCCTGCCAATACCGGTGCGGGGAGCAAGCCAACTATCTCAGCTGGTTGGCACCAAGCGTGCGCAAGTGATCAGTGGGGATTGAACCCACGACCTCCGGAATCCCACTTTTCTGCCTAAACAACTGAGCTAGGGTGCTTGCTTTGCCGGTGCATTCTTATGCCTTCCTTGTCTCGAGTACCAAGAAAAAAAAGACGAAGAATAGCACCTATTCTTGTGCCCATTCCTCCCTTTTACCTACTCCAATGTTTTTTCTCCTGGGCGAGGCCACCCTGGGATTTCTTGAATATTGTTATATTTTTGTTGGTCACCTGTGTGTATGCATGATGGGTCTGTTCATACGTGTTCAAGCGAGTGTTTATGTGTCAGTGAAGGTTGGAAATTGAACAAGTTGGTGACCGAACTGAGGACATCCATCTTGTCTTCATGTATGTGTGCGAAGGGGCTAAGACCAGCGATACCCAAGAACTGCCATCCGCGAGTCATGGACATTATGGAGGCCTGCTGGCGCACCAACCCAGCAGAGAGACCGGAGTTTTCGGAAATATCGAGGATGTTGCAGGACACAGCAAAGGAGGTAGGTCAGCTATGTAAATCGTGTGCCCACTACTCTGGCGAGGACGCAGTCGCGCGGGAGTTCTTTCTTTGAACACTACCATTTATCTGTTTGTTAAACTTTGTTTTCTTTTGTTCTGCCCTTTGTCCTTTTCTCCATCATCCTCATGAGCAGGAGGTGGAGGGGCAGAAGCATGTGAGCAGTACACGTGTTTGCTCGTTTTTGGTAATGGAAAGAGCTGTTGGTTCCCACCTTTTCACCCAAAACCGCTTCTTGATTACGCATGGGTGAGTGGTTGTGGGCGTGTGACCTTTCTTTATGTTTTCTGGGTGTGTCCGGCAAACGATCACCCTTCGCCGAAATAGAACGCCGGGTCGTTATAGCTGTATCGGAACTGAACATTGCCCCAAGTACAGCTATAATGACGCCCGGTCATTATCGCTCTATTGGGACTAAGAATGTTGCCCAACGTGCACAGCTATAATGACCGGGCATTCTATTTGGGTCAAGACTTCAAGTTGTGTCTTTCGGTGCAGATGGTGAGAAGGGGAGAGGTGGACTGAGTCTTGTTGACGTTGTGAGACCTGTTGATGATGAGGCGGTCGGAGGTTGTGTGTGTTGCCTAGCTTTTCACCCATTTCAAGTTTTCTCTGCGGCTTGTTAATGTTACATGACATCGTAACGACCGACGGGTTGGGGGTGCTATGTGATCAAGGCGATTAACCTTCACAAGTTTGTCTTTTGGTGCAGATCGACGATGAGGGGGAGGGGGAGAGGAAGCGGGAGAAGAAAAGCCCAGGCTTTTTCTCATTCAAGCGGACTTCCACAAGCACACGGTGAATGGAATCACTTAGAATCGGTGATGGTAAGTTGGTTGGCTTTGACTCTATGGAGTGTATGCCTTCAAGCTGCGGAGGGCGAGGAGTCCATCGTCCTTAGCATTCTGTCGTCCTTGATGCATTGGTTATGACATTGTGATGTATTGAAGAGGATTGGAATGCAATTGTGCGGCTGTCGCAGTTTCCTATCTGTCATGATTGCCTTCATGGTTCATCGTCTTATACATTGCAGAACAAGGGGAAAGGGGGGAACCAAAGGGTGGTGTTGGTAGGGAGGATGGGAGAATTATCCAACGAAAGCAGGTTTGCGGTGGCGGTGTTCCAGTGCACAAGATTGAGTTGGCATGGAAGGCAGGCAACGAGGTGTTGGTTGGCCTGTCGACAGGGAGACGAGTCCAACGAAAGCGAGGTTTTGCGGAGGTCGTGGTCTGATGAACGGCAGACAAGGAGGTGCTGCTTTGGGCTTACTTTTCAGCAGTTGGGAGATTGTGGAATGACATCTGATGACCAAGCCTGAGTGAGAAGATGGGAAGGTTGGTGAGTAAGATGGGTCAAATGTGCCTGAGAGCGCATGAGGAGTGGATGGCTTACTCGCTGGGTCGGAGATGAGGGATCTTGCGGAGTAAGGTGGAGATTGTGGGATCATGTCCATCAGTGAAGGCGGAGATGGTGGGAGGGATGATGTGTGACGATGAAAACCTGAGTGAGAAGATGGGAAGCTAGGTGAGAAAGATGTTTCAGTTGGTGTCTTCGCAGACTAGTGCTTTGCACAATTGAGGAGAGAAGAGGAAGGCTGTAGACTGGAGGAAGATGGAGGTCTCGGTTGGCAGCAAAGTTCTTATGCCAGAGGAGGCAAGGGCGCGGATCTTGCCGAGGAAGACAGCGATGATGTGATGATGTCCAGTGGTGAAAGGTAGGGATGGTGGGATAATGTCTGATTGTGAAAACCTGAGCGAGACGATGGGAAAGTGGAAGGCTCGTGGTTTAAAGTTTAAACCTGAGGTCTATTGGTGTCTTTGCGGATTTGGGTTTTGCGAGATTGAGGGGAAGTGGAAGGGTGTAGTCTGGGGGGAAGATGGAGGTGTCGGTTGGCAGAGTTGTTTCTTATGTCGGCGCAGAAAAGCGCTCGGATCTTGCTGAGTAAGGCGGAGATGGTGGGACGATGTCTGATGGGAAAAACCTGAGCGAGAGGACGGGAAGATAGGTGAGAAAACTGTGTCAATTGGTGTCTTCGCAGATTAGAGCTTTTGTGCAAATGAGGAGAAGTGCAAGGCTGTAGTCCGGGGAAAGACGGAGGTGTCAACTGGCAAGGGCTCACACTCAATGAAGGGCAACATAGCGCTGAGACTTTGATAGACCAGAATTGAAGATATGCAAGAGATTGGTGTACGGAGAATTTGTTTGACACTTTCTTTTCTTATATTTTGTTCGTTTTCTTTCTTTTTCAGAGGAGAATAGAAGTATGAGTGCATGAGAGCATGAGAGGTGGGGAGGAGAGAAAGATGGAGAGGGGCGTTGGCTTCCGTTTCACCGCAACCTGTGCCACGTGGTGGTATATTCTGTTGGAGGTGACGAAGATCGCAAGAGGACAGTTGGGAGATTATCGGGGATGAGCCAAAATCATGCCAGTGCCAACATCATCATTTTGACCAGAAACAGAAGGAAAAGAGAGAGGCTTCGCTGCAGCATTTTCAACCGATTTATAGGTCCGACTTTGACACTAGGCATGAGGCTTTCGTGCTTCAGACAGCTTCCCTTTTCATGTTGGCTTCATCCTTTCTGTAAGACCTCAGCCTAGAGGCAAACATTTGAAAACTGTGCAGTTTGAGCACGATTTCAGTATCGGACCTGACTTATGTGGTGTGGACAGCGGAGGAGGGGAAGGGAAGCACGACAGTTTTCTTTGGGTGGGGGGAGGGGGAGGGGGAGGGGAGGGGATGGGGTGTGTGGAAGGGGGCGAGGAGTGAATGGTGAGGGAGATGGTATTCTTTCTAGCAGGCCCACGGCACAGACAATGGTTGCATGGTCTGTAGCCATGGGGGAGAATAAGGATTGAACCGTGTGTCGGCGTGCATGTGTGTGGGCGCGGGCGTGGGTGTGGGCATGGCTGTGTGTCTGTGTGTGTGTGTGTGTGTGTGTGTGTGTGTGTGTGTGTGTGTGTGAGAGAGAGAGAGAGAGAGGGAAGGAGATGGTGTCGTAAGGAATGCCCTTGTGAGAGAGAGAAGTATCGGAGTGGCGTGGGGATGAGAGATGGAGTGAGTCAGGAGCCAATGGATAGGGGGATTGGCGGGATGTCTGGGCATGGTGGGGTGGAGCACAGTTGGAGAAAGCAAGGGGGGATGAGAGTGGGTGAATGGCCAGAGAGGGAGGGCAAGGGCAGTTTATGGTGGGAGTAATGGGCCATGGTTATGTTTATGGATGGTTGGACCCTTGGTAGTGCTCGGGAGTTGTTTTAGGCCTGCCTCGCTCACAGTGCGTAGAGAAACGTGCTTTGCTTTTGTGTCGAGCAGATAAAATTTGTCGACAAAACACAATTTGTAGCTGTAGCTTGCCTTCTTTCTATCCAATGAAGTGGACATTTGGTTGAGACTAATTAATGAGCCGAACCACCTGCTCACATCTGTGTGATATTGAGCTATATGTGGAACTGGGAAGCCATCTGGCAATCGGGCCCAGGGTACCTTTCGTCCACCCATCGCGTTAGACAATGACCACCTCTCACATACCCCAGAGGGGTGGACATGAGCGCTCGTCATGAATCTCGTGCTGAAACAGGACCGAGTGAAGGAGATGCAGTGCAGTAAATGGAGAAGATACAGACATTCACATCAGGTAAGAAATCGGAATGAAATTTCCATTTCAGTGATGATTTCACTGATTTCAGGGTACGTACGTTATTTTTTTGTTGTGTACATAGCAAATATGTGATGGTCCTTGGCGCAGCTTCAGTCTGGTGTGAGAGTACTTTGGACACCAGCTCTCTCATCTGCTCTCCTCCTTACACTAACGGAGAGCAATGGTGATCTTCCCTGCAAGATGCCAAGCTTTCCTCTCCGTTTTGTTCCTCGTCATCATCATGTCCCCTCTTTGCACCCCCTCCTTTTTGCTGCGAGCAAAGATCCTTCCCTCGTCATTCCTTCACCGTCGTCGAGTATTTTAATTTGTTTCTTTTCTCTCCAATTCCTTGTCTTGTTTACTGTACTCGAGTATTTCATTTTGTTTCTTTTCTCTGCAATTCGTTGTCTTGAATCCGCAAGACGGCGCTTTCCTGATCTAAGTAGAACTATACAAGTGACAATTATCAGATCATATTATCAGATCATAACCCCTTTCTAATCTTGTGGGAAAGCAGAGGGAGTGTGGTGGAAGCACAGCAGAGAGAGAAAGAGTCAGTGTTGTGAAGATGAATTTGAGAGAGAGAGAGAGAGAGAGAGAGAGAGAGAGAGAGAGAGAGTGAGAGAGAGGGTATGGCATGAAGATAATTTCTAACCTGAATGCAGCACAACATCGGTACGCATGTGCATCGTCTCAATCAGATGTTGAAAATGGGGCGTTGGAAAGGACAGGCACGGAGAGTAAGGGGGTCGTTTCTGATTAGTTATGAATGATGTGAACTTTGCAGAAGTGGAAGAATGCAATCTAAGTTCCTATAATAAGGTAAGATGACTTTGCGCTGTGCAATTCTTGCATGCAAATATATATGATCAGTTCCTGTGAATATGTGTCCACTTAACACTATTCTCATATACTCAGAACTTCTCTCGAAGAGCAGGGACTTCTTGATCAATTGTGGCGCGTGACTCTCTCTCTCTCTCTCTCTCTCTCTCTCTCTCTCTCTCTCTCTCTCTCTCTCTCT